CACTCTATCCAGGAGACACAATTTATCAGGATAGTATTTTTTAAGTAATAAAAACTCAGAATAAAATAGGATTAACGACTTCCTACTTCTTACCTTTTTAAAAAAATGTAGCGAGTAGAAAGTACAGATAGTTGTATAAAAATGAGATGAGTAAAAGTAAAAAGTACATTGAAAAATAGTTACTCAAATAAAGTAGATAACCAAAATTTCTACTCAAGTACAGTAACAAAGTATTTGTACTTAGTTACTTTACAACTCTGGAGGGTAGGAACACAGACTGATATGTAAACAGAGAGCTTCTACTTACAGCTCAGCTTCACCACACCAGACCAGTACACAGTACGCAAAACTGAAGAAGCTGCATTGATCTTTATTTTTAACTGAGGGAAAAAGCATTTTAAAAAAGGCAGAAAAGAAGCTCACATATAAACAGACTTACATTTTTTTTGTTTATCTGTGGTCAGAAGGTGGACAAGGCAACAATATGTTTGCTTTTGAAATTTGTGGACTTTATAACAAACAAAAATCTTGACAAATAAGTCTTTTGTTGTTTTCTGGTTACTTATTTGAGTTGTGACCTGTTTTTTTTTTTTCCTGACAGCTGTTCTGGAGTCAGTATCTCTTGACAAGTTTATACCTGAATCGCCATCCAGCAGCGAGCCGGGCGATTTGTCTCCCTGCCGCTCCCCGTCCACACCGAGGCACCTTCGATACAGACAGGCGGGGGGTAGGAACTGCACAAACACTCACGGACACACATCGCACACAACAGGCTGAGCAGCTCATTTTGAATGCCTCTACTTTCCCTGCAGTCACACCAGGGGAGAACTCCCGCTGCACCATGTCGCCTGCGTCGGCGTTCGCCATCGCTACAGCCGCCGCCGGGCACGGCAGCTCGCAGGGTGAGCACGCCCAGTTATGCAGGTCAAAACGGTCACAGCACAGGGTGGGACCTCTTCCTGTCGATAAAATTAGTCGAACAAGATGAACTAAGCAGTAAATTACAGTTTTGCCTGAGCTTACAGTGCCTGCGACATCAAAAGTTTTACAATAAATACAAATGCACTTTTAGGAAAGATAGCATTAACGATGTATTGCTAAAAATTTACCATGCTGAGACGAGCATCATTATCATCATCAACATTCATTATCTTTACCCGCTTCTAACTTTCTGGGTCACGGGAGCTGAGGCAAACAGTTGTTGAGATACTCACCTGCGCAGTAACAGGAAGTGATGACAAATATGGAAGTGTGGAATAGAGCTCTGCTGCAACAGCTAACAACACAGACATTAATGAAGAATCTGAGTTCATATAAACAAAGTCCAGGAAGTTCCTCTTCTTAAAGCAGGCGTGTCAAACTCATTTTCACTGATGGATACAAGTGCTACGGTGGCTCTCATAGTGTGACATTTCGTGTTTATAGAGCAACCTACCCCCAAATTAACTTTTTTTAGCTGATAAACTGRCTAGAATGTGTCTAAAATGTTATATAGTACTGTTTCTGTGCTAATTTTGATGTTTTGTGCGTATTTGTTCAAATCTGTAATATTTGGTCAAAAAACGTGTTTTTGCTGCTCATATGGGTAAAGCAGTGGTACTGCAGGCTAATTTGCATGTTGGTTAACAGCTCTCCACGGTGACGTGTCTTCTCCA